TGGCTGAGGATGAACTTTATATCTCAATAATCCACAGAGCGCTTCTCTCACTAATATGTGCACAGAGCAGTTAGTTAAATGAACCCGCAACTGACCTTAAGGAAGTGATCAAGCTCCAGTAACTTCTTTGGGAAAAAATTCGCAACTAGATCCTCAGCCTGAAAGAAAAATGTCAGGTTTTTAAGTGGAGTCTAGCTTGACAGCCACACAGTTTTGAAAGCTCAGAGTGAAACAGTGATAACAACATTTTGCTTTTTAAACTCATATTACTTCTGAGTGATACGTTCCCTGAAAGCATCAACCTGCAAACACACAGAGCAGAGTCACACATCAGGACTGCTACCAACCATATGCAAAAACCTCTCATTTTCCTTGCTAAACGCGGCAGCGGGGTAAACTTCCATGAAACTTAAAGTGGGTGTATCAAGTTATCTCCAGTACTGCATAAAAAGTGGCTTGGTGCTTCAGTGTAAGATTGGTAAAAAAAACTACAACATTAAATTAACAAGGACGCAGGTTTGACAATGTAGTTGTTGAGTTTGCTTAACTTGGAAAGCTAAGCACTTTTTTTTTTTTTTAGCATGTGGTCCTCCAGCAGTAGATGCTATTTCACACAACACACACACAGCGATCCAAGTCCCTGCACTCCCCCGAAGCTTAACGTCACCGTGACATACACCATGTAACAGCCCCGAACAGGTGCACTGCAACAGGCGGAAACGAGCCGGTTAGCCTGCCGTAGTGCTCCTAGCCCGGCCTTATCACAGGCTCTCACGTTCAGGCTACAAAACGGGCTAACATGAAGCAACCGGCACAAAACACGTCCGTGCGCTTACACCCGGAGCCTCAGACGGGCGGAGCTCACCTTGGTTTTAATTTCATTGTCCACTTGAGCAAGTTAAGACATCTTATGTGATGGGAGATGGCGGAAGAGCCCCGATTGTCCCGGGCAGCCATTAAAAGTCCACTGTGAACGTGTGGCTATTACTTGTCAGCCACATCGTGTGAGCTACAAAGATGGAGTCTCGGGACACGCGGACGGCGAGATGACTTTTTTCCACTGCGCCTGCGCGAAAACGTGACCGTGTTTTTTTTTTGTTTTTTTTATTTTATTTTTTTTCTTTCTTGTACGCAGCTGACGATGTAAACAAGAGGAGACAGTCGAGGGCAGCAGGGATCAAACAGGCCGGTGTCACCGCCGATGATAGCCGCTTTATGCTCGTAAACGGCCGACATGGGGCTGCCTGTTACTATTAAAGTGAATTTTCGGGGGAATGTGAAGAGATTTCTGGCTCAGGATTTGGACAAGTTGGAGTGGGAATCCGTTGAAGCCTGGGTGAGCTGCTAGCGGTGTTGGCTAAACGCTGGCGCAGTTTGGTGAAAAAGCAGGCCCAGACATGGCCTAGACGCGTAAACAATAGAGCACCTGAAGGACAGTCGGTGCTGTGGCGGCAGAATGTGTACATAAGTGGTCATTTGCACGGCAGGTAGTGCGTTAGAGAAACACGCGTGAAGGTGAAATGTGCTCTGTTTTGCTGTAATGCGTTTGTGCCAGTAGCTTGGCTGTGTAGAGGTATTTTTCACAACACACGTGTGGTGGGAAGAAAAGTTGTGGTTTGTTAGGATGGTCTTCGCTGTGGATTCGATCTCAACTCTTTTTGAATTGTGTTTCAGATCAAAGCGTCTTTCGGGATCAACCACTTTCAAGTGAAATACTTTGATGAGGACAATGAAGAGGTAAGGGAGTGTGTGTGTACATGTGTGCGCTGCTGTGGTGTTGTTATATTCAGTACATAAATTATAATGATGTTTTGATTGGGGCCAAAGTTCACTGACTCATTCTGATCTTATTCACTTTTTTTTTCAGATTTGCATAAACAGTCAAGGTGAGAAAAACACTTTTATCTCATTTTTTAGGATGTTTTTGAAGTAAAAAACAACCAAATAACAAAATAGCTGCAGAATATAGAAATGTTGAATGGTTACTCAGTTGTCCAAGCAACTTATTGATGATTTGTTTTATTTTTCAGATGAGTATGAAGAAGCCATCAAGGTACTGCGGCACTGCTGGATTTCTGTAAAATAGTGAATACAGGATTTAATTTAACAACAAGTCTGTGTTATTACAGAAGGATAAGTGCAGAATATGGGACATTTTATTGAACATTACTGGAAATATTCAGTCAACCTTCACTACATACATTTCTGATAATTACTCTCTACTTACATGAAAAATAATTTATTATATAGACATAATATACATATAAGCACATTACAAATATCTACTTGTTCCAGTTAACTGGAGCTGCATTCAAATAGCTGTACAGAATACACCAAGGAGAACAAACAGCAAGTCATGTGATAGTAAAAATGTTCCATTGTTTTCTGATTATGTCACACGTGTGTTTTGACTTTTTGCATATTTCTGAGTCAGACTCCTGTGGTGTGTGTTTCATGCTTATGTTTTTCCCGAACAGAGTGCTGAGAAGCAGGGGAACCAGTTGCACATGAACGTGTACAAGATGAAAGGACAGGCCTGTGGAGGCCCGCTGAAGACCGAGGTGAAGGAGCTGAAAGGGGACCTCCGGCCTGCACCTCCTTATCCATCCAGGGTCAAAACAGTGGACAAAGGCACACAGGTCACCCCGGAGAGAGAAGCTGTAAGGAACCAAATGGACTCCTCTTTATCTGCTTTCTTTTTCTTCTTATACCCTCTCACATATGCAGTGTTTACAGTGTTCTAGTACCACACCTTGAACACATTCTTATATATATCTTAGATATAATTTGATGCAGTTGTTGCCATAAGGTCAGATAACAGTCTTTTCTTTGCCTGTGCATTCATCTAGCAGTCAGTTTGTGTCTAATTATTTAAATCAAACTCAAATATTTGTATTTAAAGGTGACTTAATTGGGCTAAGCATAGGTTTGATGTAAGTCTGATGTATTTGGATACAGGTCACAGTAAAGGACACCAAGGGGAACAAACCAGAAGATGAGCCACCTCCCATGTGGTTCAGATCATACATGGAGAAGGTAAATGAAGAAACAATCTGTGTAGCTTCTATAATCGTCTCTGAATGAAAGGTTGTATTTAGCTTCTACTAACATAAATCAAACTCTTCTGTTTTCATAGTTTAAAGACGAGGTGGTGAAAGAGGTAGTGGAAAGGATGTGCAGTGACTTTTCCGGCCAGTGTTGTACCCACAAGACATCTGACGGGCCCCTTGAGGCCATCGGGGCTACTGGCGGCCCTATAGGGCCCAGGCCAGGCCCCTCCACCTCGAATGGGTCCCTAGGCTACACCCCAAACTGCAGCAGCTGCAACAAACTCACCTCTGAAGGGGCCTACAAGTGCAGGTATGCATGGGACACATTCTATAATAATAATAATAACAATAATAATAATAATAACTTTATTTGTGTAGCACTTATATAAACAAGGTTACAAAGTGCTTGACAAAATACATGGGAATAAAAAAAATATATATATATATAAGTAACCATACTATGAGAATAAAATAAAATACAATGTCGTGGAAATTCTTCCCAAAGTTGAGAGGTGCTAATTCTCTGAAGAACTTTCAAGCCGGTGTGGTAATCAAGACACTTTAATACATG